AAATGATACTCCCCATGTAGTAGTGTTCAGAGGTGGGGCATTTAGGTAGTGATTGGATCACAAGGGCTCCAACCTCATGAGTGGATCAGTCTATTTGGTGGATTAATTCATTGATAACCAAATGGATTACTGGAACGTGGGACCTCGTTGGAAAAAGTAGGTCACTGGGAACATGCCCTGAAAGGTTTTATCTTTCTCCCCAGCTCCTTCCTTTCTCTCTCTACTTGCTGGCTGCCACGAGCTCACCAGCCAGGCTCCTCTGCCACAATGTTCTGCTTTACCTCTTATCCAGAAGAATGGAGCTGGCTGACCACAGACTGAATCTTCAGAAACTGTGAGCCAAAGTCAATTTTCATCCTTTAAGTCATTCACATCAGTATTTTGGTCACAGTGATGAAAAGCTGAGACCAATCTTGAATATTTTCTCCTATTTTAAAAAAATTATATAATTTTACTAGAAGTCCATTATCTGTTTGGAATTAATTTTTGTTTAAGATGAAAAGTTTGGTTGGGTACACACCTATAATCCTAGTGGCTCAGGAGGGTGAGACAGGAGGATCTCAAGTTTGATGCCAGCTTCAGTAACTTAGCAAGTCCCTGACTCAAAATTAAAAAAAAAAATAAAGGATTGGGGATGTAGTGCAGTGGCAACATGCACCTGGGTTCAATCTCTAATACCTCCAACAAAATGTTTAGATAGAGGTTTACTTTTTGCCTATGAATATTCAATTGCTTCAACACCATTTGCCAACAAAGTTATCTTTTCTCTATTGAATTCTTTTGCAGTTTTGTCGAAATCATTTGGGAATTTTATATAATTTTACTGGTATCATTTCTATTCTGTTCAATTGTTCTTTGCATCTATACCTTGGTTAATACCACACAATCTTTTCATATTAAATAATGTCTTGTAATAGGGCAGAGTGATTTTCCCACTTTATTCTTTTTTTGAAATTGCTCTAGCTGTTTTAGTTAATTTGTTTTTAAATAGAATGATTCTATCTAAAAAGAAATCTTTCTGGGATTTTGATAGGAATTGAACCAAATTTATATTATGCTAATTTGTGGGGAAATGCATCTTTATTAACGTTGAGTCCTTCAGTCTATGAACAGGGAATGTCTCTAGAACTTCTCTGATTTACTTTGTGCTTTATAATTTTCAGCATGGAAGTCTTGTACATGATTTATTAGATTTATACCTATTTAATTTTTTGAACAATTGTCAATGATATTGTTTCAATTTTGGTTCCCAAGTGTCCATTGCTAATAATAGAAATGTACAGTCATTTATATCTGTAGGTTCTATATCCAAGGATTCAGCCAAACCTCAGATTGAAAATATTTTAAAAATGCATTTCTACTGAAGATGAACAGACTGCTTATTGTCATTGTTTTCTAAACAATATAGTATAACAGCAATCTATATGCATTTATAGTGTATTAAGTGTTATATGTAATTTAGAGATATTTTAAGTATACTGGAGATGAGTATATGTTACTTACAAATTCTATACTATTTTATACAAGGGACTTGAGAATTCATGGATTTTGGAATCTTTAGGGAGTCCTAGAACCAATCCCTCATGGATACTGCAGGATTACTATAATTGATCATTGTAAGTTTATCTTCTACCCTGTGACCATGCTGAATTAATTTACTAGCTTTAATCTACCCTGTGACCATGCTAAATTAATTAATTAGTTTTAAGACTCTTCCTTTCTTGCTTC